CCAGGCTTCTCCTGAGCTGAGTGTGTGAGCTCCATTACCCACACGTGTGGAAGATGTAGCAGATGTCTTTTTTGGGTCTGATTGCTGTGCATCGCATCTGAAGATTTTTCTAAATCTTTCCCATATCCCTCAGAGACTCTAGTGAGCTTTTAAAGATGAAAATCTTCCTGGTGTTTGAGTCTCTAGATTCCCCAGGAGAAAGCTCTTTGGGTAACACTGTATCTCGGATGTGTCCTTCAGGATGAGTGATGGCTCCCAGCTGGAACAGTGCACTTCCACACCTGGGTGCCTTGTGAAAGTTCTGTGACTCACTAGTAGTTAGCCTCACTCGCAGATTCTTTCCAAAGAATAATTGCAATTAAAAGGTCAACATCATAGATAAATACAAAACCAAAATAATGTATGGGAAATAACTCATCCTTTAAAATAGATTTTTTTTGTGTTTCTGGGTTAGCAAGCCTGAAAAATAATGATTCATTGGTGGAATCGTTTGCCTTGAACGTCATTTTTTTTTTAAATGTTACTGATTCTAATTACTCTAGATCAGAGCTCTCATGTGCCTTCTGTGCACCCAGAGGTGAGGTGGGAAAGAAGGAATTAAACTTGACAGAGTGCTTCCTGCTGAACAGGTGCCGACAGAAGCATACTTCAGATCATCTGCAGCCAGACTGGATGCCTTCTTTGTTTAGACTCCAGCGGACTGCAAGGGGCTTATTAAGTAGTTAGGGTTTCTGTCAACCACATTTTGAATTGGGAAATTTAGATTCTCATAGACATATTTGGGATAAAGACAGTTCTACATCTACCTGTTTCATTTCCTTGTTCAGCATTCATGGAGTGCCTCCTATGTCCCAGGTACTTTGCTAGGCTTTGGGCCAAATGCTAGTGGACCACGAGGTGCAGACTGAGGCAGTCATAACACAGACGTACTGAGTAAACTCGCTACCTAACAGTTCCACGTGGCTGTGTCGGGACTGTGGCAGCATCACCTTCAGCCGACAGCACACAGACTTCTTGATACCTAAGGAAGTTCTCTTAAAACCCACCGAGTTCCCACGTGGCTGCCTGTGCATGAGGAACCCACTCCTCTCACCTCCCGGTAGGGGGCTATGTTCTAAAACTGACCTGGGAGAAAGGTGGCCTTGGTGTGACAAACTGCTTCACTTCTTGAGAAGGGTTAGATTTCAGAAGCTCAGTAGAAAACAGTAGCAAAGACAGAAGAGCTGCCGCGTTGAGAGATTGTGGCAAGAGGATCTGTTCGGTGCTCAGCTCGGTTAGAAAGTAACTTTAACGTGGAAGCAAATTAGAAACAGAAAAGTTAAAACTAGTAAACCACACTGATATTTCAGATATGAAAATACGTGTCTCTTTGAAAAGGAAAATGAGAATATTGAATCTGGTTTTTACATAAATGTCTGTTTCTTTCTGCTTAAAGCTGTTTCCTTTAATCATCTGTCAGCCGTTCTTTTACTTCTGTGCCCAGTGGCAGTGGTGCTCATGAGAAGAATGTAAGTCTGCTGTCTCCCAGACAGACATCCCAAATGCTCCATCTCACAGTTGAGGACTGACGCTTCATTCCCCCGAGGTTTGCACGCTCCCGTGTCTTCTCTCCGCCCGCAGCCCCTCTCCCCGGCCAGGGGAGAGCGCCCTCTCAGAAGGCACGTGGGGCGGAGAGCGGCACGCCGCAGCCCCCCCGGGCCCATCAGCGGAGGCCGGTGTGGGGCAGCTCTGACACATCTGCAGCCTCTGCGATCTTCCTGCGTGACTCAGGGCTGACGAGCTGCAGAGCCACCTCGCACCCGGCCCAGTCATCTTCTTGGCGGGGCTGTCACAGCAGACCTAGAAGCTGATTTCCTGTGTGGAGCAGGTTGCTGTGCTGGTGCTATCTCAGCTCAGAGAGCAGGAGCCGAGGGGAGGATTTTAAATGTGATTCTGCCTTCTCTTTTCTCTAAAAAACCCACTCTGGGCATGGTTGAATAATGTGAATGTACTTACTGCTACTGAACCGTACACTTAAAATGGTTAAAATGGTAAATTTTATGTTGCGTATATTTTATCACAATAAAAAAAACCCAGTCCTCTAAAAATTTCATTTTTTATTAAAAAGTTTGTTTTATTTATTATTAAGTATACTAAAGTTTAATTTGTATTCTGAGTTTAATGGTCCTGTGGTAGAATGAGTTAATAATAAATAATAATAATAAATATATAAAAATATAAATTATATATAATATATAAATAAAATATAATAAAACTACAGCCTTTACTACCTTCCTTTTGAGAAATTTGAGATATTAAAAACAAAGTTTTATCAGCAATGATAATTACAGCGCTTTTCGTGTCATAAGCAATGTGTCAGGTATATATGAGTGAGTGTAGCTTTATGTGTATTTTAATGTAAAAAGTGCTGAGAGTGCTGTTGGGAAAGTACCCACAGGGTGCTCATGTTTGGTCATAGGTGCTTGGCATAGATTGAGGCGGGTCCGGATGGGATGGTGGAGTGAAAAATGCCCTATAACAGGAGTAGTTTTCCACTCTCTTGGCCCACATACTGACTGAGTGGCTGACAGTTCACCTCATCTCCTGGGGTTTCTGTTGCCTCATCATAAAAAAACTTTAGAAATGGAAATAAAACTTACCTCGTGGGGATGTTGTATAAAGCAAGTGAAATAGTAAATGAGAGACAGCTTTGAGAAGCATCAACAGCTATGCAAACGGAGGAGTAAAACCAAGACACATAAACATTCTTTTCAAGTCAGGAAAAAATTGGTAGCTGTTGGTGGTTAAAAATTATGCCTTCCTGACCCCTTCTGCTGTCTTCACTGCTCATCGTGTAGAACGTCCGGCACCTGTTCTTGGTGGAGCTGCTCTGGTCCTCCTGGAAGGAGAGTGGTCTGCCCCTCCGGCACTTAAACCTGGGGAGTTGCTTATGTAGCAAATAATTTAGAGGTTCTGGAGGTGGAATAATCCACATTCTGTAACATGATTCTCCAGGTCCTCGTTGCTGAATGGCATGATAAATAAAACTGCATTAAGAGGAGATGTGTTCAGTCATTAAATTTCATCTTGTAGGGTTTGAGCTGGAGCTGTGTTTTGCAAATTCCTGAGCAGGACAGGCTGATGGGTACATTGGGGCCCAGAGGTGAATAGCTTTTCATTCTGAGCAAGTGATGGATATTTGGAGATGAGTGAATGACGGGGTCCTGAAAGTTGTATGAACCTGTAAATGAATATTTTCTGGGTTTTATTTTACATTATTTTAGTGACCTAAATGTTATACTCAAACATCATGATTCAGGGCAACTGAAGAACAGGAAACGCAGATTCTCTCTCCAGCAGCCTGTGTAATCTTCCTGTGTTGTCTGTTCCCTCTCTCGCTGCTGCCTCACCGTCCATCTTCTGTCTCCTCAGCCTTCTCAGCCCCGAGGGAGGTGCCAGTGGCTCCCAATCCTCCCTTCCTCACCTTCCTACACCAAGCCTGATGACTCATCCCGAATCTCCAGCATCGCAGCCCTGCTTCCCCGAGCTGAGCTGAAGGCGCTTTGCTGGGGAACTCTCTCCGACGTTGTGTTCTTCCTTGCTCTTTCCAGGAGCAGGCAGAGCCGTGTGTACACTTATTAAATTTTACTGCCCAAATGCTGTGAGTTCTTGACACCTCATATTTCTGAAAACGGCAGCAAAATCTGTTGTGGATTACCAAAATTGTCACATACGTGCCACATGTGAGGGGAGGGGAATCAAAATCTGCAATGCTAGAGTGACTGTGATTGGTTACATCAGAGTCCTGGCTTTTGTTGAATACTGCTCTTTTTCTTGAAGGCATAGTGAAGCCACATATCTAACAGGCTAGGGATTTTTTTTTTTTTTTGAGGAAGATTAGCTCTGAGCTAACATCCACTGCCAATCTTCCTCTTTTTGCTGAGGAAGATTGGCCCTGAGCTAACATCCATGCCCATCTTCCTCTATTTTATATATGGGACGCCTGCCACAGCATGGCTTGATAAGCAGTGCGTAGGTCTGCACCTGGGATCCCAACTGGCAAACCCCAGACCCCCGAAGCAAAATATGCAAACTTAACTGCTACACCACTGGGTCAGCCCCCTAGTGATTTTTTTTTAAACTTTTGAATGCATTGCATTATTTTTAAAAAAGATTTATACTTTTAATTAGATTTCATTGAGTCAAAAACAAATTTTTTGTGCATCCTCACAGCATATAAGAATTACCTTGGTGCCTTCCTAAAATTCAGTGTGCCTACAGCTTCATGTCTGGTACCCTTCCCTTACCAAAAATCTCACTGAAGGATATGTCAAGCAAGTATTACTGTTTCTGCTTTAAAGGGAAATAAAATTTTGTATTAAACAAGCCTTTTTCCCTGGTTACAAAGTTAATGCACATTTGTAGGACATCTAGAGAAATCCGATAAGGAGATGAGAAGATGGCCTCAGCCTTGACTCACTGCAGGCCAGGGGCCCTCTCTGCATCTGCTTTCTGGTCTTTCTGGGGCTGATAGGTCGGCACTCACACTCAGGTTTTGCAGTCTGCTTTTTGGTGGTGATGTTAGTGGTGGTGATGGAGTTCACTTTCTAACCCTGAACGTCATTCCGTGTCAGTAAATACGCCAACATAAAGTTATGCTGGGTTAAAGACCGAATTTTAAAATAAACAGTAAGACACTGTAAGGGCCCTGGAGGGAAATATATGTGGACCTTGGTGTAATCAGAGAGTAAGGAGGGACCTTAACAGGAAAATCATGAAGAATACTGATTTACCGGAGACCACACCTCGTGGCAGCATCAGAGGGACCTTGGTCATGAGACCTCGAAGTTACTCTCCAGGAGAGAGTTCAACAGCGTGCCTCTCTCCAAAGGACTTGGTGGGGATACCAAGAGCCTTAAGCCTCGGTTGACAGACTCTCTCCCTCGGCGTTAGTTCCCTGCTCTCTCTCTCCGGTTGTGCACAACAGCCCAGTCACTCTCCTCCTCGGTGCTCCCCTGCAGGTCGCTGCGATTAACCCGAACCACCCACTGGCGCAGATGCCTCTGCCCCCGTCGATGAAGAACTGCATTCAGCTGGCAGCCTGTGAGGCCAACGAGCTCCTGCCCATGATCCCCGACCTCCCGGCCGACCTGTTCACGTCGTGCCTCACCACTCCCATCAAGATCGCCCTGCGCTGGTAAGTGGTGCCTGCTGTGTCGGCCCAGTGACCCTACTCCTCCAGAGTTTCCCACATTTGGGGTTCCCAAATTACGCGGATCCAAGCAGTCTAGCCAGGTTTTGGACGGAAGCTACAGACACAAACCCAAGATCCTAGGCGGGTGCTTGTTCTTTCCTCTCTGAGTTGAAGCTGCTTCCTCCCTCCTGCATCAGCTGCATGTGCACTCGCTGCCTTTGTTCGTTGTGGGAGTCATTAGATAGCACCAAGATTGGCTGTGCTGGAAACCAGACTTTCTTTTGAAAAAAGAAAAGGCTATCATGAAAGAAAAGTCATTTAATTCCTTGCTTGACTTAAAGTATTAATCTTTCAATTTATTCTTAGCAGTAAAAAAAAAATTATGATTTTTTTCTACCACTCTTCTTTTTAGAAGTGTAGAGCTCTTGCAGATATGAGTGAGGAAGTGTATGGGCTGTTCTGAGACGGTAGAACCTGCATGTGAGACCCTCCATCACTGGCAGAGCTCACAATGGGACATGTGTGCTTCCTGCCTCCAATTCCAATTTTCTCCCGTCCACCATCCTGCCGCTCTTTTAATATCTGCTTCTCCATTTGATGTTTTGCTGAAAAGCTTGTATATAGTAGCTATTATCCAGCTAGTAGATAAATGGACCTCCAGTGAGGTACAAGTGAGAACGGTGCAGCCGTGGAGTGGTAACTGTCCTGGTGGGGGCCCTCTTCTGGGCTGAGGGGGCGGGCACAGCACAAACACACAGACTCTTGGTTCTGTCCCCCACAACTCTGAAGAGACTATGGAGTCACGTGTGGACTCTGACGGCTGACAACACAGGGACCAGCCCCTGGGCAGACCTCTGCGGGTAACTGCAGGCTGGGCAGGGCGGCCTGGGAGTGCCTTGAGCCACTGTGTTGGATGAAAACGTAGACTTGCTGCTTTGCTCTGCAGCAACGTTCCCAATCTACCCAAAAGCCTGGGGTGAGGGTGTAAAGATCCTGGGCTGATGAACAGCTCCCCTCACCATTCACTTCTCTACCCCAGCCCTCCCCAGTCCCAGGGCTGTGGATTACCCCCAAAGAGAGGCCTCTTCCGGTGCAACTTGTCTCTAAGAAGTTAGGGTGGGGAGAGGAGCTGCCTGCAGGGACCAGCAAAGGGCATGATGGACAGCATCCCTCAGCTGCCTGAGTTCATCCCCCTCAGCTCTCACAGACAGGGCCTGACTAGGGCCACTCCCCCTGCACCCCACGAAGCAGAGCTCATGTGGGAAAAGTAGACACCCGGGGACCACAGCTGCCTCAGGAAAGGGCTGAGCTTCGTGGTATATGAGGCAGAGCTGTCATGAGCAAGTACGATGCTCACAATGGGGAGGTGAAGGGAGGAAGACACTAATAGCAAGACGTGAGACCACGAAGTAGGAATAGAAGAAACAACCACGTTGAGATCTGGGAGGAAACCAAGAGCAGGAGGATGGGATTCGTAGCAGGAACGGGGCTGCTGCAGCCTGCATTCATGAGTCAGAGGTGACAGTGAGGTGCTCAGAGAGACAGCAGGAAGGACAGTGACAGAAACAGAAAAGAAAAGCAGCAGCCATGGAGAGAGATGGGAGTCCCCAAGGTGCAGAGAGAAAACGACGATGGCGGAGGTGGAAATACCTGAAGGTAACACACATACATTCCCTAGAATGGGGAAAACGGTGAACGACCTCAGACTGAGAGGGCTCGTGCCCGGCAGGAGGGAATGGGAGGGCTCCGACCCAGCACCTGAGGGTGAGGCCGAAGACATCATGGAAGCCACACTTCCTGAGCTGCCCTCCACCCGCATCTCTCATGTCTCTGTGGCTGCAGCCCTCTGTGAACGCAGGTCTTTTTATTTGTTAATTCATAAGTGAGTTCTTTTTAACTGTCTGCACTCTGATCGCTGTAAGAAAAGGTTTATGGTGCCATTTAACGTGACCCCAGCAAGATCGTTGGTCCAGATGACTCAGGAATTCATTCATTTTATTCATCGTCTAAGAAATAATTTACTAAATACCAACTGTGTACTTAAAACCCATGCTAAGTACTATACAAATGCAAAGAAGCACGTTGCCTTCAAAAATTTATAGTCTAGTTGAGGAGATGAGATGTGGCCTGAAAATTCATCATATAAATGCTTTATGCCAGGCCAAGGAAATCTGAACATTTCAGGCAATACGTGATCAAGGACTAAATGAATTTATGGCACCAATGGCTGTTGTGTTTCCAGAAGACAAAGAACTCCCTGAGGGCCAAGGGGATCAGAGAAAGCTCCTTGGAGGAGACAGAGCTTGGATCTGGGTCCCGGCAGCTGGCTGGGATTTGCCGAGGAGCAGAGCGAGAACCACAGACAGGTGGCGCACAGCCCGAGCAAATGTGCGAAAGCAGGATGTGCACGAGTTTCTGAGAAGAGTGAGTGGGCCGGCCGAATTAGAGAGGAAGATGTCCAAAGGGGTGCAGGGGAGGTCAAAGAGTGGATGGAGACAAGACTGTGCGTTGCTTTGAACGCTGGGCCAAGGACCTTGACTTCTAGGACTGGCAGAGGAGAGTCCCTAAAGGTGTTTATGTGGGCAAACAACTTAAGAATAGTGTTTTAAGACGATAATCCATATAATGTTGGGGAGACCTTGGTCATAATTAGACCTTTATCACAGCAGTGCAGTCATGATCTGGTCAGATGGAAGCAGGAAGTTGGAGATGGCCGAGGGGCCCGTGGGGAAGAGCTCTTGCCAGATGCCCCTTGGACTGTGCCGTGGCACAGGCCTCGTTTCCACTCATTTTCCCACCTCTCCCTCCGGATTTCCTGCCTTTCCTGCTTCTGTGCACCCCGACTCCGGAATTGATCCTGCATGCCAGCTCTGTTTAGGGACTCTGCCCAGCCCGGGCTGGGTCCTGTATTCGATGGGTCTCTCACAGGGCAGTCACGCAAGTCCCCAGGCAGGTGGGTGCAGGTTATGTACACCTCCAGGAGGTGCAGGGAGGGAGTGAGGAAAGAGGAGGCAAGAAGAGCACGAATGGAGCCCGAAGCGGAACCTGCACCTGCCAGCCCTCTCCGGCCTTCCCCCTCCACACCCTGCTGCCAGCGCCGAGAGTTGAGATGTCTCTCTCCCCGTCTCTCCACCATGAGTCAGGAAGGACTTGGCGCCCCTTCCCTTACAGCCGTGTACCCCTGAAGCTGCTTTCATGTCGGGGCCAGTCAGCCCTCTGATGAGGGCATGGGCTTTCACTCTGCCTGACGTGATGCCTTCTCTGCGTAGCTACCTGGAATCTTTTTTAGAGTTAGGATATAATTAAATTTTTTAAAAGGAAGCCTTTGGTAGGAAGCACAGTGAAAAACAAATCAAACTAATACAGTTACCATAGTTGGACTTTGAAATCAATACAGCACAGTTGCAGATGACGGTCGTCAGATAACCACTGCCTAGGACAATTAAGTGTCCCAGGTGGGTAGGTCTTTTACAATAAACCTCTTTCTGCCATCCTGAGGTACTGAAATTAGATTGAACATAACGCTTTGCTGAGATGTCCTTAATCTGTGAATGGCAGTAAACCATGTTCACTGGAAGAATTGTCAAGTGAAATGTGCACCTTGTAACAGCTGAGTTAAAAACCACCAGCTTTTTTAAAATGGAGAATGGAAACAGTTTGGCAGACAGTACTTATTTGTACCTTTAGTGTTACAGTTTTGTTTTTTCATTTAAAAGAGTCAACTTAATATTTTCCAAATAAAAGTAGAGTATACATTTTTTGTAGAAAATTTACTAAAAAGTGAAAAGAAGAAAAAATTATCCCAGATTTTACCATCTTTACCACAATTACTGTTAACTTTTTGGTGTATTGCCTATTAATCTTTTTTTCTGTGCATATACGTTTTTGCTCTGATGTAATAGCACTGAATTTACAATTTCATATATTTAATCCTTAACATTATAATAAATTTATCCTAGATCATTGGTAACTCTTAGTAAACGTCATTTGTAACAATTGCATAATATTGCACTATATTGATGTTCCGTGTTTTATTTAACCAAAATCCAGGGTTTTAGGATTTAGGATGCAGCTATGTCAAGGTAGGAAAGCTCAGAGTAGCTCTAGAATAGGTGTCCAAAAACTTTTTCTGTAAAGGGCAAGATAGTAAAGTTTAGGTTTTGCGGGCCAAAGGGTCTCAGCTCTGCCCTTGGAGCACGAAAGAGCCCGTAGACAGTATGTAAACAAATGAGTGTGCTGGTGGGCCAGATTTGGCCTGTGGGCCGTAGTTTGTCAACCCCTGTTTTAGAAAATGAACCGAGATTTTAGCTGCAAATGACTGCTGCACCTATCTACTGGTCTGTAAATAACTTAGAAAAAGGTTTTGGTCAGAGATTTGCTTCCTTCCGTCCTTCCTTCCTGTGTGAATAAGAGGATGGTGTTTAACAACCCTCCTCTCATTATGTGAGACACAGTTGCAGAAGCCTGTTATGTGCTTTGTGAACGTAATAGAGCCTTGCTGCACATGTGTAACATGTGTCTGTGTATTTTGGTGGCAAGTCTATTTATGAATCTTATTTGATGATGAAGTAGTTTTTGGAAAATATTGTTTTCTGATTTCTTTTTCACTTTTTGCCTCACTTTTGCTTCACTCTAATTTTTAGAAACTGATAATTTCAATAATTCTGAAATGAGCAGTTACATTACTCTCCATATAAATGATTAACCTTACTCACCATATATATCAATCTAGTGTAAGAATCCAAAATCTGTTTTTATCCTTTGGCTTTTTCTCCTTTTTTGATTGAGTGGCAGAATACCATTTTAAATTTATTACGGGTGTATTTGTATACTACTGAAAATTATAACTCAGTGGAACTCAATTTGCTGTGGGACTTGCTATAAAACAGATGGATGCCTGTTGCAGTGTGCAGCATGCAGTTGTATGTCGATTAATGAAAGTGACAGACGTTATTTTGGATTGAATAGAGGTCAAGAAGCTTGTTTCCTTCCTTTCAATTTAG